CCGGTGAGGCGCGCTCGCTGGGGTGGGGCAGGGCAACGCACCCGGTTCCTCGCAGGCAGCCGCGGTGGAGGGACGAGGAGGGACGATGCGGCTGGCCTCTTTGGCCCGGTGCTCCGAAGGAGTTTCCTGCCCCTCGCAGAGTGCTGTGCGCGGGTGGGGTAACGTATGCAGGCTGTGGTGCTGCACACTTGCACGGTGTTGCTTGTGGGTTGGGGTGCTGCACGTGGGGGAGGGGCCGACTGCTGGCTGGGGTGCCGCACGTGAGAGGGTGGGGTGATACATGTGAGAGAGTAGGAGTGCTGTATGCGGGTTGGGGTGTCATACACTGCGGTGCCCAGCCGTGACCTTGGCCCTCTTGAGGAGGTGCCTAGAAGCCTTCACCCCAGCACTGTCTGTTCCCACAGGAGGAAGGGCCTGCATTTCCTAGCTAGGAGAGGTGAGAATGCACAGCAGGGTGGAGGAACTCATCCTGTCACACTTCAGCCTTGGGCCTCCCTGTAGACCTTTCCCCCTCAGGCTGGGGTTGGGCTGGGAATAGAGGCACCCAAGATCCAGAAAAGCAGCTGGAGACCCGTGGACCTCATGTGCATCTGCAGAGCAGCCAGGCCTGCGAGACCCTGTGTTTCTGGCAGAAAAGCACTTGAGTTTCCTTAAGCTAGGGCTGTGGAGGGTGATGGGAGGGTGGAGAAGGGAGAAACCAAGCCCTGCACATTCAGGGTTCCCTGTCTGTGGGCCCCTAGGGAGCTGCAGTGGCTGCATGGTTTCAGGTCTGCAGTGAACCCTGGGTGCTGAGTGCACCTGCTGACCCTCTGCTGCACTCTCCCAACCCATGCCCAGATGCCTGCCGTTCCTGCCATCCTGGTGTGCAGATGAGCCTGCAAACTGCCCAGATCCATCTGGAATCCTGAGAAGGCCAGTGCAGAGTGGAGTGGACCTCACATAGAGAAATTACCCAGCAAGGAAATCTGGTGGTAGGTAGGTCCAGGTGGGCCAAGGTGTGCAGGAACCTGAGGTGTGGTGACTCCGCAGGCCAAGGAGGGGGCTTCAGGAGACATCATTGAGCTTGTGTGCTCATCAGAGCAGTTGGCCTGCTGCCTCTCCCCCTCTGTTTACCAAACTCTTACCTTCCAGCCTCTGCCCTACCCCATATGCCATCCACCCCACCCATCCCAGGTCCCTAGGTTTTCATTGGTTCTCTCTGGGTCTTTGCAACCTACATCTCTGGAGCCTCCAGAGCTCAGTCCAGGGCCTCCTCCAGACTCTCCAGGCACAGTGGCATCTATTCTCAGTGCTCTGCCTTGGTTTCGTGACTGTGTCACCACTGCCAGTGTCACCCCAGGCCCAAGGCTGTGAGGTCTGCTCTCACCCATACCTGCCTTGTTTGAAGGCAGCCACCCCATCTCTCCTGCATCTTCATCAAGTCAAGGGAACAACCCCTTACAGCCAGGCTTCTGCCAGACAGTCCAGTGGGCCTGGTGCTGAGACACCCTAGAAGGGAGACACTTGGTCAGGGTGCAGCGACAGATGTCACATCTCATGGGGGTCCTCTCGGTCAGTCACATTGTGCGAACAGAGTTAGAAAGGGCCCTGTCTCTTGAAGAGTCCAGGCCAAGGGCTTCACCAGCACTTTTAGAACGAGTGTGCTATGTGATCAACACGACCTCAGTACCAAGACAAGACAGGCCAAGACAAGAAAATGAAAGCCCACGACCTCTCGTGAGCCCAGGCACACAAATCGTTAACATTAGCAAATTGATTCCAGCAGGCCTTGGGGATGTGACTCAGCGGCATGGCCCCTGCCTGGCAAGTATGAGGCCCTGAGTTCATTTCCTGGTACCAAAAAAAAATTTTTTTAATTCCAGCAACATGTCAAACAAATACTTACAAGTCTGTGGGGTCTTTTGCAGGAATAGAACAAGTTAGTTAATGTTTCAAACCTATTTGATATAACTTACCCCATTAGACTGAAGCAAGAAAACCAAATGATCATTTTGATAGATTAAAAAAATTTTAATAAAATTCAATACCTATTCATGATAGAATCTCTCCATAAACAGTGACAGAAGGGAACTCCTGCATGATGATGAAGGATACTACGGAGCCTAGCATGAGCATCACAGAGGCAAGACCTTGCTTTGCTGCCAGCCAGGAATAAGGTGAGAAGATCCATTGCCATCCCTCTGTGTGAACAGCATTGGAGGACATGGCCAATGTAATTAGTCAAGGAAAACAAAAGCCATTTACTGGGAAAGGACAAATTTAAATGTGATTTGTTTGTAGATGATTCCAGCACTCTGGGAGGCTGAGGCAGGAGGATGGAAAGTTTGAGATCAATGTGGCCAATTTAGAGACTTCATGCTCCCCTATCTCAAAATAAAAAACAAGAAAAGTGTTGGAGGTGTAGCTAGACATGAAAGCCCTAGAGTTGATCCCCAGTACAACAACAAAAAAGCGAAATGAGTTTACCAAGCCACAAGACACAAACCCTTCCACCCCCCAAAATCAGTTCTGTTCCTTTGTAGTAACAATGGACAGTTAAAGTTATAAAACAAATTCCATTTTTAAATAGAATTTTTAAAAAGTGAATACTTAGGAATAGATTTTATGAAATGCACCTGAGACCTATACACAGAAAACTGTAAATACCACTGAGAAAGAAGAGGAGACTTAATTAATAGAGTGTCACTGCATCTCCCTGGATCCCTAGGCACAATACTGCTAAGCAGTTGTGTCCAAGTTTGTGGACTGAATACATTTTCAATCAGAATTCAGCTAAGCTTGGTTTATATATTTTGTTTTAAAAATTAACAAGCTCATTCTAAAATGTATAAGTAACTACCAAAGACCTAGAAATGGCTGAACAGTTCTAAAGAAAAGCTAGTAGGCTCAAGCTGCCAGATTTCAAGTCTTAGTGGGAAGCTACAGAAATTAAAACAGTATGGCATGGGCTGACAGATAGAAATATAGATCAAAGAATGAGCTTAGAAGCTAGAAATAAATCCTTTTGGGGGTGCAGTTTGAGATAGGGTCTTGTCATGTAGTCCAGGCTGGCCTCCAACTCTTGGCCATCCTCCTGCCTCACCCTCCTGAATACTGGGATTATAGGTGTGCACCACCATGCTCGGCTTGAGAAATAAATTTCTTACTCAATTTGTGATGCTGGGCATTGAACCCAGGGCCTTGGCACTGAGTAACATCCCCAGCCCTGTTTTATTTTTTATTTTGAGACAGGGTGTCACTAAGTTTTCTAGGCTGGGCTCAACCTGTCAATCCTGCCTCAGCCTCCCAGAGCACTGGGTTACTCGTGTGCCACCACACTGGCTGACAACAGATTTTCAGTGGGTGCTAAAATAATCCAATGGAGAAAAGATTGACAATTGCAACAAAAGATGCTGAAACAGTTTGAAACCCCATACATAAAGAAAGAACCTTATCCTGCACACAAATATCAACTAGGTTGAATTTAGTAATTACTAACTAGAAGTGATTTATAGGCCCCAGTAAAAGGATTACAAGTTTAAAACTTCTAGAAGAAAACATAAGTAAAAATCTTTGTGTGCTTGGGTTAAGCAAAGATTTCTTGGCTAAGATGTAAAAAGGCACAAGCCATAAAATAAGTTGTAAATTGGACTTCATCAAAATTAAAAACATGCTTCAGAAGACATTGTTAACAAAATAGAAAGCCACAAATTGAAAGAAAATATTTGCAAAATTATACCTCTGATAGGAAACATGTATCTAGGATATATAGACATTCTCATGACTCAGAAATAAAACAACTGGACCAAAAAATTAGACAACACTTCAAGAAGGGACATGGATGGAGAATAAACACTTGAAGAATGAACCCTTAGTCATCAGATGCAAAGCAGAGAAACCGCAAGGAAGTGAGGCTGCACAGGGGCTGGGGGATGTAGAACCCCAACTGCAGGGTATGGGGCGGGGACACCCCAAATGGCAGCACACGTCAGGGTGGCCACAGTGGGCACAGTTGGTTACCTTCCGATCAAGCTGGACTTGCACTCCCTGGCACACTTGACCACGTGTGGAAGGCCCATGATGTGAGTGGTAAAACTTCACCTGCAGAATCGGTGCAGAAGGGAACCTCTGGGGTGTACTCGTCTGTGTCCTGACCGCCCTGCTCCTTCCTGTTGGATTGAGGCTGCCTATTGCCTTCACGATAACTTCATTTCCTCTTTAAAGATGTGGTTTCAAAGAAGGTCACTTTCTTAGGGTCTGGGACTTCAGGTTCCCGCACAGGAGTTCAGAGTGGGTGTGGACGCAGAGCTCCTAACACTTTCTCAGTGAAAATGCCCCTGTGGTCCCGCCAGTCCCATGCCTGCTCCTCTTTCTCTTGCGGCTCATCTCATCTCTGCACTCACTGACATCCTTTCTGTGCTCTTTTAATCACCTCCGGCCCATCTTCACCCATCTCAGCCCCAGGACACCATGTCCTTGTTTGGTCCCTGGGTGAATCTCAGGAGTCAGAGACCAGCTGGCATATAGCAGGTGTTCAGCACATCACATGACATGGTGAACGTTGCTCTGTCATCAAATGTCCCTTTGCAGTGTCATTTTGGGGGTTTCCTCCTTAGATTCAGCATCTGTAACTGTGAGGGGAGATGCTAGCCCTTCTCTGCAACTGTAACAAAATAACCAAGGCTGTTACCTAAAAGGCAAGAGCTTTATTTAGCCAACCAATTTGATATTGAAAGCCCAAAAAGAGCAATCAGAGCCCACAGGTAACACAGAGAGAGGGAAGAAGAGAGGGCTGTAGGAAGGGCTGATACAGGCAGGAGACACCACCAGGCCCTGAGGGCTTCTCAGGCCTGGCTCCCAGCCACAGAAGTCTGACTGTCCTGTGTCCTTGAGGCCACTGAGCTTTTGTCCTGGGCTTCCCTGGGTCATCACTAGCTACCTGCAGAGCCTTGGCCAGGTCTCCAAGGTGAGCGTACCCTTACAGAAATAAACCCCACGTTGCCCAAACTCCCTGGGCCACCTCCACAGCCCTGAGTGATCACATCCCCAAGGAGCTCGGGTTTGGGAAGCAGTAAGGGGTCCTTGGAGAAGGTGCCTAGGTACCTCACCCCACAGGCCGGTGCCAGGTGCTCTTGGGCCACTCCATGGGAGCCACCCCCATTCCCAGTGCCCCTCCCTGGTGTCAGGCTCAAGGGTCCCAGTGGCACCTTCTCTACCGCACGCTCTGTCCCAGGGCACAGGAGCGCTCAGTCTGTGTAGGCCGGGCTTGCTTGCATCTGATCAGTAGGGCTGTCCTGTGAAAGAGGGCAGAGCGTGGGCAGTACAGGTTCTATGGCAGGGGATGAGATAGCTTTCCAGAAACTCAGAGAAGAGCCCCCCCCAGCTCAGCCCCCACCCAAGGGGGAGGAGGCCAAGTTAGTCAGGACCGGAGCCCCGGTGGGGCGTGTGAGGAGAGCGTGCACCCCTGTTCGCTCTTCCCTCTCTCCCATCATTCCACGGAAGGGAGCACAGCCCGAGCTCCCAGGGAGCAGCCATGGAACAGCGTGAGCGTGGGGCTGTGACTGGACCATGCACCCGCAATACACGTGGGTTTTGTGTGCATTTTACCATAATTAAAATGTTTTAAACAGGATGTAGAAAAGATGAGAAGCACATTCTTCAAAGTAGGGCTTTAGTTCCTTTCTGCCTGTGCTTGCTGGGACATGGGCTATTCAGGGAGGCCAGGATCCCAACAGCTAGGGGCCCCAAGGCATGCAGTACTTGTGGAGCAAGAACCCTTTCCTCCGGCAGCAGCTCGCACCCCACGACCCCCTGCAGTGTTAGCAGTGGAAGGAGGCTGGGGACATGAGCCCACCCCGAAAGGAGACTGAATTTCAGTGGTGTTAAGCAGTATGGTCAGTGCAGGCACTGGGACTGCAGGAGGGGAATGTGTCTTCTCCTCTGGCTCCTCTGGAACAGGCTGTGAGGAACAGATGAAGGAAGACTGGGAGAAGGCTGGGCCAAGCAGGGCCTTCACAGAGCCTGCCAGCTGACCCATGGCAGCTTTATCGAGACTTAATGACGTCCGCACTCCCATGCGTTGTGGCTTAATGCCCCGTGGCTTCCCTGTGACTGTGTGTGTACTTGCTTAATGTGACAGCTTTGGGGCTGCAGCGAGACCCTGCCATGCACCTGCCCAACCTCCCGCCCATCCATTGTCTGTGATGAGACCCTTTATTGATGGCTTCAATTTTGTTTTTATTATTATGACCATTTGCTTTTCAGAGTTGGGAGAAAGAAGTACACCCAGCATCCCACCTCTACCCCCACCCCACCGCCTGCCAAGCACAGGAGGAGGAGAAACTGCTCATCACCTTGCAGATGTTAATAACTGAACTTAACATAGCTCGGTGAGGTGGGCTCATATTTCTTTAGATTTGCCTGTTTCTCCACTAGGTACCTACTCATCAATTCTCCATACCTGAATGGATGGCAGGTTTCCATTTCTGCAAAGTTAGTGTTTCCACAAAATCTGTTCACAAAGGGCCTTTTTTCTTGGTCGTCTCAGACCACTCCCACACCATGGTCCTCTTGTGGTCCTGACCTGACCCACTTCCCAAGGGACTCCCAGGGTCGGGATGCCTGGTTGTCATGGTTACCAGGCCTCATCCTGCTGCTCTGAGTCTCTCCTGCACACAACTCCCCAGAGAAGCTTTGGCCCCATCCCGCCCTCCCCAGATCCTATCCTGGGAGCTCCAGCCCCTCTGTCCTCTGGCCAGGAGGGAGTTTGGGGGCCAGCACCTCAGAGGGGCACTCCCCGAGAAGAACCAACAAGCGTCACCCTCCTGAGTGTGGTTTAGGATTGGCCATTCTCTGGTCACCTGCAGATGAAGCCTGTGTGGACAGGAGCTGTTGTTGGTCCCCTGTATAGTTTCAGAGATCTCTCTGGAATGAGCACCTCTGTGGAGAGGCCATGTCTGCCCCCTCTGAAGGTGCCCAGCAGTGGTGGCTGAGGGGTGGATCTGGGGGACCACTTCCCAAAGGGCAGCCACAGGCACCCTGTTCCTGAAGGACTCCTCACCAGGCCTGCAGCCCCCTCCATCCTCCCCAGCAGTCCCTGCTCCTGTGCTCCTGGGTGGTGTCCTTCAGGTGTGGCAGCCACAGGTTCCCAGCCCACCCCAGCCTGACCTCCAGAGCAGAGCCAGGGAGCTGCTCCTTGCTGAGCCGGCTGACCTTCCTCATCCCTCTGGCCCTGCTGTTCACTGGCAGCTCAGAACTCCCATCCCCATGGCTTCTGGCACCTGCTCCTGCCCAGGAGGCTGCTTTGGATCTCAGGCCACCTCTCCTGCAAGAGGCCCTGTCTGTGGTGCACGTTAGGGGAGAGACCATCCTGACATGTCAGCCTGGCTCTCTGTCTGGGTCCTACCCTCCCTCCAGTGCTCAGGCCCACTGTAAATGGGCCAGCAGCTGGGCTCAGAGAGCATAGAGTTGGGCAGAAGGGAGAGATCCACAGGAGGCGCTGAAAGAACCCCCAGGAAGGCAGATGGACAGAGCAAGGCTGGACCCATGCAGGGATAGCGGTGGCCCTGGCTAGTCCTGCCTGGAGCACCCTGCCGGCTGCCTCCACCAAACTCACCTGTGACCTGGGATGTGGCTGTTTTGGCAGTTAGTCTTTAAACAGATGGCTAAGGTAGAATCAGGTTACTGGGGCGGCGAGGGGAGGCTGGTTCATCCACCTGTGTCCTTGTAAGAAAAGGAGATCAAGACACAGACACCAGAACAGCCATGGGGGACTCGGGCTCCATCTGCAAGCCAATGAACCAGGCCTTGAGAAGAGCCAGCCTTACAGCACCCTGACCCTGACTTCAGCACTGGTTGGGCTCTCTGCTGCCGAAGCCCCCAGCTGCAGAGCTATTAGGGCTCCCCGTACTTCCCCAGGGCCTCGCCTGGCCTGTGCGTGCTGGTTTTGGTGTGAGTGCCGATGTCCAGCCTTGCAGGGCCAGAGCTGTCACCAATCTGGCACCCCCTCCCTTGGACAGGTGCTCCCTGCAGCAGGCACCAGTGCTAGGCATGGCCTCACGACCCAAGATGTGCAGTGACGGTGCCCTGATGCTGCCAGGAGCTGCCGTGGGGCTCTGTTCCACTTCCTGTGAAGCTGGCGTCAGCTTGCTGTGTCCTCCCCACGTCCCTGACTGTGTGGCTGATGCCTCAGGACTGGTGGTTACACCTGCTGTCCCTGGGCCTGGCAGAGCAGAGGGGACAGCATGGGATAGCATCTGCTGGAGCAGGTCAGGCGCCCTGCTGCACAGCAACTCTCCGAGCAGGGGTAGCGGCCACCTCTTCTCTCCCCACAGAGGTCACCTACAGGGAGGCCCAGGCCCAGAGGTTCAGTGAGTGCTTCACTCGCTCTCCCAGCCTCTATTGCCAGTCAACACCTCAAGTTCCATAAAATGGGTTAATTCTGGACCAGGTTCCAGGGCCAGCAGCTGAGCCAGGATCACGAAGTTGAGCCCAGAGTGTGGATTAGTAGGTAGTTCTCATCAGCCAACAAAAACCAACCTTTCTTCCAAGCCCTGATCCTAAGAAGTAATCACCCTTCGAATCAGAGTTCCTAATCTCTGAAACAGGCCCCTGGCTCCCTCCCAACTCTGTCCCAGGCCAGGGAGGAGCCTTGCCCAGGGGCAGGGCCACAGGGTGGAGGCAGTGGCCGGCGAAGCTGAGTTGTAGCTTTGAGTGTCCAGAGCGCTGTAATTCTTTCTCCTGGGCCCAGGGAGGACACGGGTCTCATCTGAGGCCCTCGTCTGCACTGGGCCCCCTGTCCTGGGCAGACCACAGCCACATGAGCCTGGGGTCTGAAGGTCTTGGGTCAGGATGGCTCTAAGGCCCTTGAAGGGCTTGTGGTGAGGGGCACTGCTCTCCTATCAGGGCCTAGATGGGGCAAGGGAGGGGATGCTACAGGCCCCTCAGCACCAGCCCTTCAGGGACAGGCACTACCTCAGGTGGGTGCTGCGCCTGCCCTGCCCAATGTGCCCCTGCAGCACTCCCTCCCCTGGGGGCTTGGGGACACCTGAGATGGCTGGGCAGAGCCTCGGTGCATGGGGCTCCCCTCCAGGAAACCCCAGTAGGAATCCAGAGCTGGTCGCATCCACACAAAGCAGCCTCCCAACTCCATGTTTGTGGTGTAACAGGGCTTGGCAAGTAAGAATGCAGGAGGCCCCAGGACATTTGACTTTCAGGTACATGAGGAACACTTTCGTAATGTGAGTGTAGCCCATGCAATATTTAAGACATACTTATACTGAAAAATATCCATTGATTATGTCTTGGGTGTGGCCTGGCAGCTATACCTAGGCCAGGTGTGGGGGAGAGCCCTGTGCATGGACAGGTATGAGCACGCTAGGCTAGGCCAGGGGAGGTGGGCTGGGAGAAGGCAGGACACCTGCAATGGCAGCATGGCCCTGTTCCTGTTACCCAGGATCTGGTTTGGTGATGGTAGTCTTACACGCTGACGTGGCCAGCAGACAGCCCTGGGCAGGTTGCTGCCTTTGTCTTAGGAGCTCCTGTCCCCTTTCCTCAGGGGAAGGGCATTTTCTGTGTCCAGCCCTAGGGCTGGCCTTGTCCCAAAGCCCAGGTGGGGCTTAGCAGGCTGCCCTGCCCTTATCCATTGGGGACTCTGACCCTGGAGGGGCCGGATGTCCTCCTACCTCTGCAAAGTCCAGGCTGAGGGCCTGGGTAAGGAAAGAGGGGTCAGTAGCCAGTGCATGGGTATATGGGGCCTATGGGATGCACCCTGCTGCCCACCTCAGCCACCCTCACCACACCATCTGCCTTCAGCCAGGCCACTGGGCCAGGGGGCTGAACCTTCACTTCGTCCTCCAGTGGGTCTTACAGTGGCGAGGGGCCAACCTCAAAGCACAGGTTCCTGCTGGAGAAGGGGGCACTTGCGGAACCTCAGCTGGTACCCTGTGCCCATGTCCACAGGCCTCTGTCCTGAGGCCTTCCAGGTCCCAGGCTCATAGCATACCAGGCCGCTGGTCTCCCCCCACAGCACCCACAGTGTGATGCCACCTGTCACATCCCCAGCCCCCCACCGCGCATGCCCTCTTGTGCCCCAGGTGCCCCCTGCATAGAGCCCCCTAAATCCCAGCTGGCCACATCCTCCAGTCCAAGAGGCCCCTCATCCAGCTCCTGTTGGCCTCTCCACCCCAGCGACCCTTGCTCAGCCCTCCCTGGATCCCCACCCAGGTGCCCACACACACCTTTGAGGGCTCTTCCCCTCCTCCAGGAAGCCCCAGGACTGAGCCACCGAGGTGAGGCCAGCTCCTGGACATGAAGGAGCTTCCTGGTGAGCCTGCCTTGCACAGCCTGCCTTATTGCTCCCCCGACTGCCCATACTGTGTGTGCTGTATTTTGGCATGTCGTGGTCTGTGGACTCAATCCTGAGCAGGTCCCTGTTGCTTCCCCAACTTGAGTGTAACCCACAACACTGGGGACGGCACCTCCTTGCTCTGCTGTTTGAGTTTAAGAGTGGTGATGAGCAGGGCTCCGAGTCTCCTTAAACACGTCCACCTATGTGGTCTCACTTTCAAAGGAGCTCGGCTAGGCGAGCTTCACCCCCCAAGGTCCCAGCGACCAATGCGGGGCTCGGGGTCATGCAGAACCCAGGGGCACACAGCTGCTTGGGGGAGACCATGGCAGGGGCACTCTGTGGGAGTGGTGTCCAGAGCCCAGAAAGTCACTGCGCTCAGGCCTGTCCGGCCTCTGGGGCAGCTGCTGGCAGAGCAGAGTGGGTGGGGTCAGCCCTGGTGGCAGGGCTAGAATCTGGGGCCCATAGGCCAGTGAGCCCAGACCAGACACGGCTGGCAGCTACTTCACCTCGGAGGAGATGGACACAGTCACGTGTCACACCCAGCACCCCGATCTGCACTCCTGACACTCCCACTGCAGGGTGGCTTGTGGTCAATTCTGTCACCAGAGGCTGGCTTTGCGGCTCTTGATTCCACTGACATGAAGGCACAACGAGCAGTCTCATGCCTGGTGTCTTTCACCAAGATGATACTGGAGAATGTCACGCACTGCCTCACAACTTTGCGGATTTTAGCGACATCCGTGCCATGGTCACAGACCAGGGCCCCTCCAGAATCCATCCCAGGTCAGATTCACGTGTTAAATCGTGATGGAGTCATGTCATATCTTGGCCGTGTTGAAGCACACAGCAGGGCACGGAGCTGGTCCACATTGCAGCCAACACTTCCGTGCACCTCCAGGGCTCCCTCACTTCCCTCTGACGTCCACCCCTCCCAGCCCCTGGCCACAAACAGGAAGCTGGAGAGAAAACCGCTCTCTTGATGTCCCGTCCCCCAAGAGGTCTGAAGGTGGGCACGGCTCTGCTCCCCCTAGGAGCCCGGCAGGGTCCTTCCTCACCTCCAGCCTTGGTGGCCCCAGGCTGCCCCTGGCTGAGATTGCATTGCTGCTCTCGGCCACCTCCTCTGTGCCTGTGCCTTTCATAAGGACGCAGTCTTTGGGCCACTGCAATCCATGATGACCTCACCTTGCAATCCTTCACTTAACCTGCGAAGACCTTTTTCTACCCAGGTCTCTACCACAGGTTCTGAGGTTAGACATGGATGGACTTTTGTATTCAATGCAACACAGCCCTCAGTCCATTGGTGTTTACAGGTTTAGGGGCCGAGCAGGGCTGGACCCAACCCTGGCTGGACCCAGGTCACAGAAGAGAGGGGGCCCAACCAGAACCCTCAAGAGAGGTGAGGCTGGCCTGACTGGCTCCCAGCAGAGCCTGGGGCAGGGAGGTGCTCACACTATGCCAGGGAGACGCGGCTGCTGGGCAGGAAGGAGGGGCCCTGTTTCACTCTCGCCCTCCTGGACCCTGTCTGGGTGCTGTTGGCACAGACATCCTAGAACCGCAGCCCAGGACAGTAGGGTGGGGGACAGCAGACAGCCCTGTCCTGTGTGGGGTCCTGGAGAGAGGGGAGCAGACTGGCCTACCCGGCAGACAGGCTGAGAGCAGGGTGGGGTCTGTGGGTGGGACCCACGGGCTGGGACACAGAGGATGCCATGAGGGACAACAGGAACAAAGGCAGCAGCTGGACACCGAGCCGTCTCCCTGTCAGGCCAGATGGGCAGGTGGGGCTTGGGGGCCAGGCTTTGTGCTGTGAGCCTGGGGACTGCCACCAGCCAGCCATCAAACCGAGTCCTCCACTGGCATCCTAATCAGAAGGGGTGGGGCTTCCCCGGGGCTGTTCAGCCCAGATCAGAAGGCCAGGGCCAGGCTGTCCCCAGAAAGCCGAGTGTGTGCCTCTCCTGGTCATCTCGGGGGCACACTGGAATCCTGCCTTCCTTCCCCGGCTGCTTGCACAGTGCACCATTTGGGATGCTGGAATGACCTGCTCAGGGGTAGGGAGGAAGGGTGCCAACCACTGGATCCAGTCCCACTCCAGGATCCCTCAGGAGAGGACAGGTGGATGCTGTCCCCACAGCCTGGCCAGGACCCACAGTTCACTCTGCGGTGTCAGCCAAGCAGTGGCCAGGCCGAAGCACAGGTCCAGCGCTGCTTGTATGTGGGGCAGGAGGGAGGAGTCATACAGCTTTTAGCTCTGTCTAAAGAGCGGCTGTTGGGGGCAAAGAAGGGCAGTCGGTAGTTGGGTGTGCCGGGCACCCGTGGGGTCTAGCGGTCACTGCCATGAGTGTGGTCCATACTGGGGAATGTCCTCAGCATTTCAACAATCTCCGGGTGCTCGATTCTCTGATGTAAGAACTACTTCCTCCTGTGTTTGAGACGCAAAGAAATGGGAACTGACGGGATGAGACCCACGCCAGCCTTCCACACTGCACCTGTGGATTCAGCCGTGCGTGGAAAATGTTTTTTGGAGCACAAGGGCACCTGTGCTGAATATGCAGACTTCGTTCCTGTCTTTAAATGCAGCACAGCCACTGTGCACCCGGCGTTTACCAGGCACGCGGTGTTAGATGTGACCCAGATATGGTCTGAAGTACGCAGGACAGAAGGCTGGAGTTTGTCAGCCCCCGTGGACACACAGGGGAAGGACACAAGGCCTCACATTCTGAGTGAGATTTGTTTTCAGAAAGCCGGTCCCCTTGGACAGCTCAGCTGGGGAACAGAGCCTGAGCCTCCCTCTGTCCTTTGAGAACAGTGCAGGCTGCAGGGCCTCCTGGGGCCTCCTGCTGTGGAGCACAGCAGGAGCAGGTCCTTATGCTCTCCTTCCAAATGGGGATTAAACACTTCATCTTTGCCAATGCCCCTGGCACAGACACCTGGGTTAGCAGGGGAGGTCTCAGATGTCCCACTTTGGTGGGTTCTGCTGCTCAGGGACACCGTGCTGCCCAACGCCTGAGCCCACTCAGCCTGCCAGGTCCTCCCTGGGCTTGCAGACTCCCCCATTCATACAGGAAGAGCATGAGTGGGTGCTCCTGTTCCCTGCTCAGGGCCACTTACAGGTCTATGGCCCCAGTGGCCGAGGCAGCCACCTCGCTGGTGTCTCTGGGTCTCCAGGCCACTGTGGAAGCTCTGACGCAGTGTTAAATGGGGATCTCCAGGGCTCACTCCTCTGAGTACCCAGAAACCACTTCCTGGAGGGCCCCAACCTTGCTGGGGTGCAGTCAGGGACATTCGATGGCAATAGCCCTGAGGTGACCGTGACTCAGACAGCAGCCTCAAAAACAACCATGTCAGGACCCACAGAGAACACGCTGCCTGTTAGCACAGAGGGACCAGCCCCACGACACCAGTCTCAATGTCCAAATCCAGGATAAGAGAGAGGGGCCTTCCCCGGAAGCAGATGCTGCCTTTGGTGCTGCCTGGTCACAGCGCCTGGGCAGACTGACCCCGCTCTTGGGCAGCGTCAGCACACTGAGGGTGCAGGAGTGGGCACCTGTCTGCCGTGGGCTCATCCACAGGGAGCTCACAGGAAATGAAGGAAGCAGGAGGATCCTGAGAGTGACAGTGCTGGGAGAATGGACAGAGACATGAAGACGGACAGGGGCAGGGAGACAGAGTCCTGGGGAGACGGTGCGAGGTTGGCGGGGAGCCTGGGTGCTGGAAGTGAAGCAGGCAGAGAAGGTGCTGTGCGCAGCGTCTGGAGAGCTGACCTGTAGCTCTGCCACTGACCTGTGGCCCCTCACCTCCACCCCAGCCTTGTCACCCACCCGGCTCCTCTGCGCAGCTGCCAGGTGACAACAGAGGCTCTCCGGGCAGGAAGGGTGGGCTAGGACCGGTCCTTTTCACCTCCAGCATTTGAACTCATTTCTACCATGAGAACCAGCAGGTAGAGGGACAGCCTGCTGCATCTCGGGGACGGCCTGCGGTCCCAGCAGCCAGTAGGGTGCTGGTGTGCTCCTTCAGGGACGGCAGCAGGGTGCAGGCCAGGGCTGGGGCGGCTGAGGTTTGAGGTCAGCAGGTAGAGGGACAGCCTGCTGCATCTCGGGGACGGCCTGCGGTCCCAGCAGCCAGTAGGGTGCTGGTGTGCTCCTTCAGGGACGGCAGCAGGGTGCAGGCCAGGGCTAGGGCGGCTGACAGTCTTGAGGTGGGGGCCCATCCCCCCCCCCCCCGCCTAGGTCATCAAAGCTTCAGGGAAGGGAGAGAGGAAGGAAGGACAGTGGAGCCATGGCCTGGACCAGGCTGCCCGGAAGATGAAGTGGGCCCTGTGGGACTGAGGTCTCGAGTGAGTCCTGAGGAAGAGTTGGAACCCACCCAGGCCTTTCCTGCCTTCTTCCTCCTGACACCAGGGTGCCTGAGGCAGCTGCCCAGGGCTCACCTCCAGGCACCCCCGAGGCCAGGTGAGCCTGAGCCCAGCCTGGTGCAGGTGTGCCCTGGGGTCTCTCCCCTCTCAGGAGACCCCAGACAAAGGGGGCAAGGACCCAGGGTGGAGGCTGGTAGCTGGAGCCCAGGTTTCCCCGGTAGGTGGAGACTTCTCCCTGCTGGAGCTGCTGCCCCCCCATGGCAACTTGTGGCCCCCAGACCGCAGGCCTGAAGACAGTGCGGAGGTGTGTGTCAGCTCCCCACATGACTGTTGGCGTGATGTGTGCAAGCACAGACTAACAATAAATAAGAAAGATCCAAGTGCTGTGTGGCAGGGGTCTGTAAGACGCAAAGTCTCACTTTCACTCCACGGAGGGTGAACAGCCAAAAGGGCCTCCACAATGTTGGGTCCTATAGCCCAGCAAGGCTCCGGGAGCTCCACAGAGGAACGAGAAACCCAGGAAGGAACACACCAGGCTAGATGGTAAATAGACCTTTATTAGTCTGGCCAGACAGCGCTCTTGGAATCAAGTAGCTGGCTCAGAGAGGCGCCAGCTCAGGGGCTGAGGTCCTTTTTATAGGGGGGTAAAAAGGGGGGTTAACATTTTAGGCTTGCAGGCAGGGGACAAAGGTCTGCTGATTTGAGCTGGTGGTCAACAGCCCCGTACACAGATACCACCTATTGGATGTTTCAAAGGTTGCCAAGACATTCCGGATGAGCAAACAACTTGACAATTAACTTGGGGTCTCTAGGTCTAGAGCCACTAACTTACACATTAATTTGGATCCAGACTTCAAACAGTACAAGATTGTCTTACATTCCTAGGCCAGGGTTAGAACAAAGGTTGGGGCTATGGCTACAATGGGAGGGGGTTAGAGCACTGGCTCCTAGGCCCTTTGTCATTTAGCATGGGCTTGTAATTTAGGTCTTACAGGTCCAACAAAAGGCCTGGCCCAAGGCTTCGGGAGTCCCTGCTGGAGAACTGTGGTCTCCCAGAAGTTCCTGCCCTCGGGACACACTGTCAAGAGCCCCATGAGGCTCACACCACTGATGCTGCAGTGAGAGGTGGGGTCTGCAGGGCTGAGAGCTGTATACCAGACACAGTCTGTATTGTCCCCTTGTGTGGAGCCCTGAAGTTTTGCCTGCCTATTGAAGAAGAGGAGCTGATAGATGAGCTCTTGGTTTTGCCTTTCCCAAGGACACTGGGATCTGAGAGGAAGTAGTGGCAACATTTGTGCACTGAACTCTGGCTTGCAGACCAGGCTCTAGGTATCTGGATGGACGGAGGCCACAGCAGGCACTGGCACAACCTTTGATCACCAGTAAAATAAGATGTGGGCATCCTCTCAGACCACCCAAGAGAGCACACAGGCTGGTGGCCCCAAAAGCCCCCACTGTCCTCATCCTGGAGGCTGAAGTTCAAGGACAGGGTGCCCCAGGCTGGATCTGCCCACCTACCCTCACCTCAGCTCACCGGCTATGTCTACCCCCGTGTCCTGGTGGTCGCTGTGTGTCTGTGTCCTGATCTCCTCTTCTTAAAAGGACCCCATCACGGCTTAGGTCCCAGCGATCCCATTTAACCCTGAGTACCTCTTGGGAGATCCTGCTGCCTGACCAACACTGTGATCACCTTTTCAGGGCATTATTTGCCATCCACATGTCTTCCTTGATGACATTTCTGTCCAAATCTTTTCCCCATTTTAGTTGGGCTTTAGTTTTCTTGTTGTTGAGTTTAGAGTTCTTGATATATTCTGCATAAACATCTTTATCTGATATATGATTTGCAAATATTTTCTTAGCAGTGCTTTGTCATTTTATTCTCTTAACAGTGTCTTTAGAGAAAGAAAGGTTATTATACTTAACAAAGTACAGTATTGTTTTCTATGATGGATTGGGCTGTTGTGCCTAAGAAATCTTCACTTAGCCCCAAATTTCAAAGATTTTTCTCCTGCTTTTTTCAGCAAGTTTTATGTTCCTATATTTTACACATAAATCTAGAATTAACTCTTAAAGCAATTTTCAGTATGTCAGGTAGTGACCAAGGTCCAGTGGTTCCTTCCCCATTTGTTGGAAAGACTGTCCTTTCTCTGATGAATTGCTTTGTCACTTTTGTTAGAAATTAATTAATCTGGAATTATTCAAAATGGCCAAGAGGCAGAAGCACCCCAAATGTCCACCAATAGATGAGTGGACCAACCACTGTGGCCCATCCACCCCATGAAATGCAGCATCTTAGTTACTGTTCTCATTGCTGAAACAAAATACTCAACACCCAAGGTTAAGGAGGACAGGATTATTTGGCTCACAGATTGTAGAGGTTTCATAGTCATCTATCTCCAAGGCAGGGTGGCACAGCAGAGGGGCATCACAGAGGAGAAACAGTGCATGGCAGGCAAAAGCAACAAGCGACCAATGACAAGCAGCATCAACAGCAGCCCTCTTTCTGTCCTTTAAATCCCACCCAGGCTCCTCACCCTTGGAGCAGGAAGCACTCGCACCCAGGGTGGGGCAGCCTTAAAATAGCGTCACACCAAGAATCAATCCCAGCATCACATCCTTGATTCCAGCCTAGACCCAGCCCCTTTGGGGGCACATCTTGGTACAAGCCACATCAGTGGCCTCGAGAGGGAATCCCAAAACACACCACAACAAGGTAGAACCCTCAGGACTTTGTGCTCAGTGAGATCAGCCAGGCACAGGACTGCGGCTGTGTGACCCCACTCACAGGAGGTCCCCAGGGTTGGCAGATCCACAGAGAGAGCAGGACCAGGGCCAGGGGCTGGGAGGGCTGGGGCCAGGTCTAATGGGGCAGAGCTTGTACTGTGGAGATGAGGAAGCCCTGAAGGTGGACAGCGGGCTGCACTGCACACTTCCGCCACAGTTTAATGTGTTTAAAAACTACTTAGCCATATGTGGGAGGATCTACTTCTGAGCTCTTTATCCTGCTCCATTCATCTATATTTAGTCTTTGCTGACATTAATACCACAGTGGCCTGATTACTGTGGCGTTAATATCTCTTGAAATCAGGTAGTATAACTCTTCCAATTTTCTTCTTTTCAGTGTTTTGTATTTTCTAGGTGTGTTTCTATATAAAAAAATTTTTTTTTTGGACCAGGGATTGAACTTGGGTCCTCGAGCTTGCGAGGCAGGCAGCAAAACCACGGAGCTAAATCCCCAACCCTCTATATGAATTTTAATATGCTTATCTGTTAAAAAAAAAAAAAGAAACACTGCTGAGATTTTGGTGGGATTGTGTTGAACCCATAGATCAATTTGGGAAGAACTGATATCTGTAAAATGTTGAATCTTAACACGGGCACAATATAGCTTTTCAGTTTTTCAATATTCCCTAATTTCTCTAAACAATATTTGTAATTTTCCATATATAAATTTTGAGCATTTTGGTCTGATTTAAACCTAATAATTTAATTTCTGGTGTCTTATAAATGACCTTGTTCTTACTTAATTTCCTATAAATGACCTTGTTCTTACTTAATTTCCGAGTATTTATTGCTATAGAAATACAATAATTTTCTTTAAAAGCTTTCCTTAAAATCTCCAACTTACTAAACACTAATTAGTTCTAATTGTTCTTTTATAGCACTTCGTAATGTTTTCCACAGAAGCCACTTACTCTTTGCTGAGATACAGTACCTGACATTTTAAAGGAGGAGGACTTTGTTTTGTCTCAAGTTCTCAGTCCATGGTCAGCTGGGCCCATGGCAGGCATGGCAAAAGGTCCAGGCAGAGGAAAATCTGCTCACAACATGGAGGCCAGGAAACAGAGAGAGAAGGGAGGAGCCAGGGGGAGAGAGAGGCAGCCTTCCAGGCCACGCCCCCAGAGATCTACTCCTACTAGGCCTAAGGTCCCAGCAGCAAGTCAGCTGTAATGCCTGTGAGCAAATCACCTTCCAAAAGCCCCACTGGGAACAAAGGAGGCTTCCGGGACATTCTAGATCTACACCAGAGGGCAGCTGCCAGTCTAGCTGTGAAGACAGTTTACTTGTTACCTTCAGTGGGTGTTTCTTTGCTTACCTACCTGCTCTGGCTGCCCCTCCTTTCCCATGCTGAACAGAAGCAATAAAGTCGAGTCTCTGCCTGGTTCCTGACCTCAGGGAAGCCAGCCCATCTTTACCGTGGTGAACAGAGCCGCCTATGTGTTTCTGCAGTTGCACTGTCTCAGTGAAGCAGCTCCTTCTATTTGTGTTCTGCAGAAAATTAGTTTCTAGAATGGGTTTGGGGTTTTGTCAATTATTTTTTTCTGCCTCTCTTCAGATGTATCTGTTTGTTCTTTCCTGGTCTATGTTTACCCTGATGATTTTCAAATGCAAACCACCCTTGGGTTCCTGGGATAAATGCCATTTTGTGACCATGTATTCTCCTCAGTACATGTTGATAAATTCAACTTGCTCACATTTCTGTTAGGAATTTTGCTTTGCCATGCATGATGGCACACACCTGTAATCCACCACTCTGGAAGCTGAGGCAGGTGGATAGCTGGGAGTTGGAGGCCAGCCTGAACTACATAGTGAGACCCTGTCCCAAAAAAACATTGCGTCTTGGTTCATAGGGAGGGTTGGTTTGCAGCTTCCTTTTCCGTCTAGTTTTGATATAATTCTGGCCCTGCAGGATGAGATGAAAATGTTCCTTCTCTTGTTGTCTGTAGAATTGATGTTATTTCTTTCTCAAATGTTTGTAGAACTAGCCATGAAGCTGTTTGAACCTGAGATTTTCTGTGTGGAAAGGTTTTTAATTTCTTTAATAAATAAAGAACTATTCTGGTAGCTTACCTCTCCTTGGGTAAGCTTTGATAATTTGAATCCTTCAAAGGATTTATCTATTTCATCTTGTTACATTTAAGTGAAGTCATATATAACTTCATTCCTTTATTATTCTTTTAATATCTATCAGTGATGGCTCCCTTTTCATTCTTTTTTGTTTTTTGTTTTTTGTTTTTTCTTTTTTTTTTTTTTTTTTTTTTTTGTTTTTTTTTTTTTTTTTTTTTGTTTTTTTTTTTTTTTTTTTTTGTTTTTTTTTTTTTTTTTTTTTGTTTTTTTTTTTTTTTTTTTTTGTTTTTTTTTTTTTTTTTTTTTGTTTTTTTTTTTTTTTTTTTTTGTTTTTTTTTTTTTTTTTTTTTGTTTTTTTTTTTTTTTTTTTTTGTTTTTTTTTTTTTTTTTTTTTGTTTTTTTTTTTTTTTTTTTTTGTTTTTTTTTTTTTTTTTTTTTGTTTTTTTTTTTTTTTTTTTTTGTTTTTTTTTTTTTTTTTTTTTGTTTTTTTTTTTTTTTTTTTTTGTTTTTTTTTTTTTTTTTTTTTGTTTTTTTTTTTTTTTTTTTTTGTTTTTTTTTTTTTTTTTTTTTGTTTTTTTTTTTTTTTTTTTTTGTTTTTTTTTTTTTTTTTTTTTTTTTTTTTTTTTTTTGCTTTTTGAGACAGGGTCTCACTATGTCATTTAGGCTAACCTTGAAGTTGGTGATCCTCC